TGCTCTACTTTTTATGGCCCTTGAAAGACTGACAAAATGGTAACTTTCTTTGGGTTGCGAGATGAACATTTCACATAAAGGGGGCTTCCCGTTTTTAGTTCAGCCCAGCGACTCATTGTGTGAATCAGGGCCAGCATATAATCAAGTCCCCTGCGTACACAGAGCACCTGCTTACAATTTCTTTTTTTAAAGGAACATACATTTTTTTTATGCCCTTCTTATGTAGTAGGTTGTGTGGAACAACGTGGCTGAGGGTAAGCACTGGGCAATGATATCAGTGACATCATATATTTCCCAAGGATGTATAACCAGATGCAAGCGGCTTTGTATTGGGGTTAAATCTAGCCAATGTTCCACTGATATGAATGTTGGATATTGTAACTCTGCATGCAAGAGGATCTGGGAAGGAAAGGGTTAAGAGAATTCGCTCACTCGGGGCCAAGTCTCTCATCAGTTAGATGTTGAGCCCTTTGGCCATTGTTTGCCTTCTGTTTTCATCTTATATAAAACCAGGGGTCATTTTGTAGAAAAAGAGGTGCAGGAGCTCATTAGCATAACTTATTAGCATAACTCATTAGCATAACTCATTTGCCTATGCCACACCCCCTGACATCACCAGAAGTGTGTCAGAAGGCAACACCCACCGCTTAGGCTCCACTGGGCTGTTCTGGATTGCTAGCTATTGGGGGGGGGGAGTGCAGATCTGTCCTCACAGAGGAGGGAGAGCTTGTACCTGAATAAAACTTGGTCTTAAAGGTGCCACTGGACTGTTTTGGATTGCTAGCTATGGGGGGGGGGACGTGCAGATCTACCCTCACAGAGGAGGGAGAGCTTATACCTGAAGGCGGGCTCTCCCTTTCTCATAATACAAGAACTCGCGGGCACTCAAAGAAATTGATGAGCCCAGTTAGAACAGATGCCCGACTGAGGGCTGCTGGAAGCAGGGGGCGAGGCTTGTTGCATGTGCTCACCCGCTGGGCTCCTTACTGCTAGAGCTCCGCTCCTGTGTGCTCCTGCAGGAAATGACCCCTGTATAAGGCCTCTCTCTCTCTCCTGGGTTTGGAGCTGTAGAAAGTTAACCTTTCTGAAGTTAATCTGTTCATTAATTTGTTCACAATAAGTTAAATGTAGCTACGTGAATGTGTCATGTAAGATACGCTTCTATTTTTGTAGGTAACATTTCTTTCTCTTGTTACCATTGGAGTCAGATCATCTTTGTGATTTGTTTGAACAGCATTTTCCCCTTAATCGGGAAAGGTGGAGGATGCGGGATACTGCATAAAGCTAAAGGGCGACATGATCGAGGTTTATAAGATTATGCATGGGAGAGAAAGATTATGCAGGTAGAGAAAGAAGTACTTTTCTCCCTTTCTCACAATACAAGAACTCACGGGCACTCAAAGAAATTGATGAGCCCAGTTAGAACAGATAAAAGGAAGTACTTCTTCACCCAAAGAGTGATTCACACATGGAATTCACTGCCACAGGAGGTGGTGGTGGCTACAAGCATGGACGGCTTCAAAAGGGAATTGGATAAACATATGGAGCAGAAGTCCATCAGTGGCTATTAGCCACAAGGTATTGTTCTTATAGGAACTCTTGGTCTGGGGCAAGGGATGTTCTGTCTTCTTGGTGCTTGGGGGGCGGGGCAACAGTGGAAGGTCTTCTAGTGTCCTGGCCACACTGCTGGACCTCCTGATGGCACCTGGTATTTTTGGCCACTGTGTGACAGAGTGTTGGACTAAATGGGCCGTTGGCCTTATCCAATACTGGCTTCTCTTATGTTCTTAAGCAACAACAACGAATTTATTCACAGCAAAAAGCCAGCACTCTAATACAGCAGTCAAACTAACTCAAACTTTAAATTCATACAACCACAAGTATAAATGAAATATATAAAATGAATATCAAATAGAGCATGCATGTAAAACCTGTTAAGTCCTGTAACAAATTACATCTATTCGTCTTTCACTAGGAGCTTTCTAGTCCTTACAGCTAACCAGCCAAATTTGGCAAGTTTAGCTGTAACCTTGGGGCACCTACTTTCTAGGAGGGTCTTCAGCAATTGCATCTTTTGATTAGTTGAGGGTAGAGTGGGAGAATATCACGAAAGTGGCTATATGCCCTGCAGTCATATATAACGTGCATTAAGGTTTCAATTCCATCATTGCAGCAGTGACATATGCGATCAGCAAGGGTTTTTTAAAAAAATTAAACCTCCCCTCTGTAACCGCTGAAGGGAGGGCATCCCACCTCATGAGGGTAAACGTTCTCCTTAACTCATGTTTTTCTAGATAAAAAAGATACGGCATAGGCACTACCTTATACAATGGTTCTAAAAGGGCTCACCATTTGCATGAGTTATTAAGATCCTCCTGTCTAGCTATGTCCTGGATTCTCTGTCTCACTAACTCTCTCACTTTGTCATATGTGAGAGAGCTAAGAAATTGTTTTGAGAGGCCAAGTTGAGAAAGTTTTTTTGATGACCCTTTGCCAAGGTCCCAGTTAAACAGGAGAGACAATCTCCTGATACATTTCCTTGAACTCAATACTTACACAGCCAAAGCTGTGCAGGGAAGTCCTGAGTGCAGTCCCCTGAGCTCGAGGTATGGATCAGAAGACCCTCCTCCCCCATAGGGGAGAATGGTTTGGCCTCTCCATGCTAGGCACGGGCTATGCCGAAACATAAATTTAATATTACAGTTATTGTTTTTCTGTGCCTTATTTGGCTACATTAGGGGTGTGTGGCCTAACATGCAAAGGAGTTCCTGCTCCAAAAAAAGGCCCTGGGTGTTGACAACAAACAAGGTAAACGGAATAAGAAGCAAAAGGTGGGTGTGGCTGGATGGCCACACTTCTGGTGTGCCCTGTGGAGGTGTGACCTAATGAGTTTCTGCTGTTGGGTGTGGCCTATTATGCTAATCTACAAAAAAAGCCCTGGAGTCCAGTGATAATATTTTGGTAACCTTTTAGCAAAAACCATTACCTTGGTTTTAGCGTAATTTATTTCTAAACTATTGTCATGGAAATATTCAGAAAATAATTTAAGTGCTCTTCTAAGGCCTGTAGGAGTTCTTGACAGAATAACCGCATCATCAGCATATAGAAGATATGTTCTTAAACTTCTGTACTTCCCAAGGCAATTGATAATTATTTTTTTTACATTAAACCCAATAAAAAGAAGGTCAATCTTGCCTGATCCCTTTTTCTCAGCAGTCCTAGACCTCCCCTCCCCGCTAATCTAGGAGGGTCACATAAGGAGGGTGATGATGAGAAAAAGGAATACAAGGGCCAGTCCAGTTCTGCCAACTGGATCCAACCCTTGGTTTCTCATCAGTGCTCTGAAGTGGCACGATCCAGGAATTTAATCTTGGATACTGCCACAGGTGTATCAGTGTGACCCTTTTATTTGTGCTTTGTTCTGCCCTTTGGGGATTTATTTATTTTTTTTGCCTCTTTCCATTGCTGTTTCCCCCAATTTGTTTCATTCTTTGATACCATTTCAATGCCAATTGTATGCAACAGAGGAAAAAATGAGGTAAACATTAGTTTCATAGGGAAGCGTTGATGGAAGGAAACAGACAAGTGGTGGTGGAACGTGCCGTCAAGCCGCAGCCAACGTATGGTGACCCTTTAGCATGTTCAAGGCAAGAGAGGTTCAGAGGTGACTTGCCATGGCCTGCCTCCATGTAGCAACCCTGGGCTTCCTTGGTGGCCTCCCATCCGAGTACTAACCGGGGTCTCACCCTGCTTAGCTTCCAGGATCTGATGAGACTGGGCTAGCCTGGGCCGTCCAGGTCGGGGCAAACAAGGAATTTAATCTTGGATACTGCCACAGGGTGTATCAGTGTGACCCTTTTATTTTTGCTTTGTTCTGCCCTTTGGGGATATTTTTTGTTGTTGCCTCTTTCCATTGCTATTTTTTTCCCATTTGTTTCATTCTTTGATACCATTTCAATGCCAATTATATGCAACAGAGGAAAAAATGAGGTAAACATTAGTTTCATAGGGAAGCGTTGATGGAAGGAAACAGACAAGTGGTGGTGGAACGTGCCGTCAAGCCGCAGCCAACGTATGGTGACCCTTTAGCATGTTCAAGGCAAGAGAGGTTCAGAGGTGACTTGCCATGGCCTGCCTCCATGTAGCAACCCTGGGCTTCCTTGGTGATTCTGGTGACATGGGGGTGTGGCCTAATATGCTAATGAGCTGTGTTGTCAGGGGTGTGGCCTAACATGCTTATAAGTTTCTGCTGTTGGGTGTGGTCTATTATGCTAATGAGTTCCTCCTGGACTTTTTCTACAAACAGAGCCCTGGAAACCCAGAGTTGGAGCAGAAAAAAATATCAGTTGCTCCCCTCTTGATGACTCACTGCTGAATTTGTGAAGCGGTCAGTGTTTAAAGAGCCGTGAGGTCACATGGATGTGGCGATTTGATTCTTCATATTCTCTCAGACATGCAACTCCTCTCTTGCTGCTGGGGGCGTCATGCGATGGACATGCATGTGTGAATTACCAGCCTGGACGGTCACCAGAGAATAGGGCACAGCAGCCAATGTTAAGCAACAGTGAAAGTTGAAGGATAAAGGTTGTGGAAAGGCTCCTAGTTGTGGAGAGCCAGTTTGGTATAGTGGTTAGGAGCGCCGACTCTAATCTGGGAGAACCGGGCTTGATTCCCTGCTCCTACGCAAGCAGCTGCTGGTGTGACCTTGGGTCAGTTACAAGTTCTTTCAGAGCTGTTCTCTCACGAGCAGTTCTCGAGAGAGAACTCTCTCAGCTCCACCTACCTCACAGGGTGTCTGTTGTGAGGAGAGGAAGGGAAGGAGATTGTAAACTGCTCTGAGACTCCTTCGGGTAGTGAAGGGTGGGGAACAAATCTCCTCCTCCTTGTGGGCTGCTTGGAGAGATAACAGCTTTCTGTGGCTTTACATCTTCTAAGTGAATGCGATAGATCCAGCCGACTGAAGGTTCTCATCTCCTGCTGTCCTTTCTTTTCCCACCAAGGTGAGAGCCGCCTTCAAGCACAAAACCAAAGTGTGGTCCCTCACCAGCAGTTCCATGCGCAACATCAACGTGAAGCCTTTCCACTCCGATATCGTAAGTATTCCTAGGCTGGCATCAGATTATTTGTAACACAGAAACATTGAGAATTGGAAAGATCCCCCCCAAAAAAACCACATGTGGGAAAAGGAAATGGGCCCGGCAACCAGAGTGGTGCAGCGGTTGGACTAGATCAGCTAAACCCAGGTTTCAATCCCCACACTGCTGTGAGGCTCACGGCGTGACCCTGGGCCTGTCACACACTCTCAGCCAAATCTACCTCAACGGGGGTTGTAGTGAGGAGAGAAGGACGTATTCCACCCTGAGCTCCTTGGAGGAAGGATGGGATAAAAAGACACTCAACAGAACAAGGGCCGTGGCCTGGCGGGTACACTGGGTGAACCTTAGTCTGTGTCCCAGAATCCTTTGCTGTGCATAGGATTTCAAGACTAGAGTGGCAAGCTTCAGGGGTGCCTGGAGATCTCCCAGGATTACAAGTGATCTCCAGATGGCAGAGAACAGTCCCCCCGGAGAAAATGGATGCTTTGGAGGGCGGACTCCAGGGCACTGTACCCCTCTGAGACCTCTCCCCTTCCCAGACCCTGCCTTCCCCAAGCTCCACCCCCAAATATCCAGGAATTTCCCAAGCAGGAGTTGGCAACCCTGTTCATGACAGATGTATAGGGGCTTCTCATCAGACCAGTGGATACAGAAAGAATTCCCAGGGTGTTCAGAGACCCCAGTTTTCGTCAGTGAACTTGCCCGTGGCTGTGGCTCATTGGCAGAGCATCTGCTTGGCACACAGAAGATCCCAGGTTCCATCCCTGGGATCTCCAGTTAAAAGGATCTGGCAGTAGCCTCCACCTGAGACCCTGGAGACTGAGACCCTGGAGAGCCGCTGCCGGTATGAGTAGACAATACTTTGATGGACCAAGGGTCTGATTCAGTATAAGGCAGCTTCATGTGTACCTGTTTCTCAATGGATCAAATTAACTGTAATGTAGTTCATACTATAGCAATAAAGGTGCTTTTTCAGGAACGGTGATGTCTGCATGCTCCCCTTCACTGTGGTGGCTTCCTGCTGTCCGCATGGGGAAGAATCCCCGACAGGAAGGAGCCATAATTGCATCGTGCTTTTTAGTTAATAAGAGATGGATGAACGGATGATTGCATGATCCATGCAGCAAACCACTTGCTCACAATTTTAATGCCAGGAGCTCACAAAGGAGAATTTTTGCTCACAAGACTCCACGGCTTAGAGGGAACATTGCGCACGCTCCCCTCCACTGTGGTAGCTTCCTGCTGTCCGCATGGGGAAGAATCTCCGACAGGAAGGAGCCATAATTGCATCATGCTTTTTAGTTAATAAGAGATGGATGAACGGATGATTGCGTGATTCATGCAGTGCAGTTTAAAAATATCTAAATTTTAGAAAAGACAGCCCACCGAGAGCCTACGTGGAGGTGCACATCAAGGGGCTGAACTAGCGTTCTGTGCAAATCTTTTATTTTAGCCGTGAGGCTGCGTCCGCCCCGCGGCAGAATGACGTCGTGTGAGCTGACCTGTTAAAAGACATGTCTTGACTGGCGATGCTGACAAAATTCATAATTACTCAGTTCAGAATGCAAATGTGCCCACTGTCTTTTCTTGAGAGATGGTAGTAGTTTGGCGGGTACAAGAAATCGGGGCCTGCGTCTCTTTGGAGTGGCAGGTTTGCATCTGGGCTGTTTCTGCTTCCCCTTGAGGAGGCATTCCATCGTACGCGTCAGGCGTCTCCAACATGGAGCCCGTGGGTGCCAGAGCACCTGCCGAGGACTGGCGATGCTGACAAAATTCATAATTGCTCAGTTCAGAATGCAAATGTGCCCACTGCCTTTTCTTGAGAGATGGTAGTAGTTTGGTGCAGGGTTATTTTTGGGCAGGAACGCACAGGAACAGAGTTCCGGCTGGCTCCTGAGTTGGCCACGCCCAGCAGGATCTCATTAGCATAATAGGCCACACCCAACAGTAGAAACTCATTAGGACTGGCTGCATTAGGGGTGTGTGGCCTAACATGCAAAGGAGTTCCTGCTACAAAAAAGCCCTGAGTTGGATGAGCACACTTCTGGTAACATGGGGGTGTGGCCTAATATGCCAATAAGCTGTGATGTCATGGGTGTGGCCTAATATGCTAATGAGTTTCTGCTGTTGGGTGTGGCCTATTATGCTAATGAGTTCCTCATCTGGGCTGTTTCTGCTTCCCCTTGAGGAGGCATTCCATCGTACGCGTCAGGCGTCTCCAACATGGAGCCCGTGGGTGCCAGAGCACCTGCCGAGACCTCTCCTGGTGCCCGCCAAGTGTTTGTAGAAGCTAGAGCTTCTGCCCTGATTGACCTTGGGAGGTTGCTTTGGCAGCAGCTTCCTCCACAGCAAAAGGATCTTCACTGTGTGGCTGTAGGTAGTCTGTTGGAAGCCATTTTGTGGCCGGCTCCACCTTCTGCAGCAGCCGTTTTGCGGCAGCCATTTTGTGCCTGCGCCCACCACGCTCTGTCAGAATTCCAGAGGTGGCCACAGGCTCAGAAAGGTCGGGGAACCCTGACATGAGTGGAACGAACCTGTGGAACAAAGTGGTAGAATCGAGACTCAGGGCAATCTCCTCCGTGAGAGCTTGGCTGTCACTTCAATATTATTTTCTTTCTCCAGATAACTGGGAACAGGCCGGGAACCAGCCCCACGAAACTGAATACTTGGGACAAGAGCAGCAATTCGGCAAACAGGATCGACCTCTCGGCAGTCTGACGCCAGACCCCGTCAGCCCTCCTGTCCAGCAGCCGAGCCATGCCTTCGGGACCTTTGCCATGGTTTCTGCCCGCCCAGGATTTGCTCTCAACTTGTGCCAGTAGTGACTTCTCCTTTAATTATCACCTGCTAAATTGGAAGAAAGGGGGGGGGAGAACACTCCCCACATTGCATTACGATGAGTGAACCCTTCCAGCTTTTGTGAATGTCTTTACCTGCCGTGGCCACGGAAACAGTGCTACGGAATAGCTAGCAACTGTATACACTGGACGGTCTTGCAACTAAAGCAGGAGACAACAGAAGGGCAGGAACGGATCCCGCTGCCTCGGTAACAGGACTGAGAAAAGTTAGCGGCACCTCAGGAAAGGAGATCGCGACAGATGAGCTTTGCTTTCTGCTTGGCAAAGAGCCCAGGTTTGCTACGGCATTATTGAAATGGGGCCTTTCTTGTCCAGATCTGCATCCTCTGTTGGCGTTAAATAACGAGTAATCCAATTATCTGGGCACAGCTTGCCCAGGAAACATCCAGCCAACAAACGTTTCTTTTTAATACTGTACAAAAGCCAGCGGCAGAGGTAGACTGAAATCCAATCCGTGCTTTTTTGCTGTACGTTGGCCTTGGGACTAACAAAGATGGCATAACGTTGTGTGTCTTTGTGTGCCTCCTACACATCTGTTTGGTTTTTACGATGCTATTCCTAAAAGCTGTCGACAGTGCCACATCCACCTGCAACGTTGTTTCACCAAAGTGGCTGTTCACATTGACTGAACCACCCTCTGGTGTGAGCATCGACGGCCGACTGTCAGGTGGATTTTTGCGGACTGAATTAACCTGTAGCTTTTGGAAACCGTTAACGGGACCGACACTGTGACTTATCTCTCTGCTTTGCTGGGCGGAGGGGGACGCTGAATGCCACACAGAAGCATACTAAGAAAAAAGAGAAGTTAACACCCAAATGCAAGCCACCAAATAAAATAAAAACTCCTCCGCACAGCTAAACAACCCCGAGAGAAATATACTGTGAACTAGGCAGCCAGACTGCAGCTGAGATTGTGTTATTATCCACAAATGTCATTTTTTTTAAAAAACTTTTCTTTTTTCATGGTAAACAGCTTTTAGTCTTTCCAACAGAGCTATGGTAGAGGAGAAAGCAGCACCTGTTGTGCTTCTACATTTCCCCCCATTCTTTATGGGTTTTGTTGCTAGGAATCTCCAAGCACTATTCAAACCTATCCTTGCTGCCTTAAAGGCTATAATTTGTGTCCCTCCCCCTTAACACTGACACTTTCTTTTGCGTCCAATCACACAGAATTGCTGGATGCAAACCATTATAAGTTAGAGATCCCCTGTGATGGATTGATGCTGGTAATCAGAGGCTCTGATCAGGAGCCAGTTTGGTGTAGTGGTTAGGAGTGCGGACTCTAATCTGGGAGAACCGGGTTTGATTCCCCGCTCCTCCACCTGCAGCTGGCTGGGTGACCTTGGGCAATCCACAGTTCTCTCAGAGCTGTTCTCTCAAGAGCAGTTCTTTCAAGGAGCTCTCTCAGCGCCACCTACCTCACAGGGTGTCTGTCTGTGGGGAGAGGAAGGAAGGGAGATTGTAAACCGCTCTGAGACTCCGAGTGACGGGTGGGGTATAAATCCAATCTCCTCCTCCTCCTCCTCCTCTTCTTCTTCTTTCTAATTTCACACTCTCATGTTGAGGGAATTTGCACTAGAGGGATCTATAAGCTAGACATGCCTCTGGAGCAGGCATGCCTCCCCTGCACACATACCGACCATAGAACAGGAACATCAGCAGTGCAAAGCATCCATGTGCCTGTTGGCTGGTGCTTTAATGTGCTCTGTCCAAAGCCTCCCAGTTTCGATGGGCTCATTGGTATGTCAGATCCTGGCTGGGTCTTATAGCTAGATTCAAGTCCAGTAGCACCTGAGAGACCAACAAGATTTCTGAGGTATAAGTTCTCAAGTGTCAAAGCTCCCTTCGTCAGATACAAATTGAAATGGAGGTCTCCGAGTCCTTATGACCTAGAGGACTTGGAGGTCTCCGCTCCACCTTGTGTCTCATGAAGGGAGCTTAGACTTTCGAGAGCGCGTTCCCTGAAAGTCTCGTTGGTCTCCAAGATGCTACTGGTCTCCAATCTAGCTGTTCTGCCATGGACCAGCACAGCCACCCTCTGATTTTGACAGGGTTAGTCATTGCCAGAATGTGTCCTGGGGGGACCGCTGGATTGCTTTTGAAGCTTATCAAGGGTTTCTCAATGAGAAATGCTTGTTGACGGACTTCTCTATTAAACTGGCTGCCCACATCTCTACCAAGCAACCCCTACAACAAACAGATGTTTGGCGAAACAGAGGGTAAATTATGGTCATCCAAGGCAGTGGTCTTCAACCTTTCCAGAGTTGGGAGCTTGGGGCCCAGGTGACCTCAGAATCACACAACTGGAATAGGGGAGCCAGAGTTATGATCTTGCTGAGGTCAAGGCCAGGACCATGGACAGCAGATCAAAAGAGCTAGGGACAGGAAACATGATCCCAGCACCAGTACAGGGCAGCCTTAGTGAAGAACAAGCCAAGGGCCAGAGCCATGGAGAAATCCTCTGCACCCCAGAGTAACTCTCCTCACTATCCAGCTATTCTTCTCAGCATTCGTACAAAAAGAGAACAAGGTATGGCACCCTTGCTGTCTGCACTGTACGTCCTTCTGAAGTGCAACAAAAAATGGCAGGGCTGTAAGGGCTCATAGCCAAGTAGCAGGGACTCTGCTACCCACCTGAGGGTCCAGCCCATGGCCTGAAGTTCACTGGTCTAAGGTAGCAAGAGAGGGCTGCATCCAGGTTTTATAGAGAGCGGCACATACCCCAGAAGGATGCACCTCCTTCCTGCCTTCGTCAGATGCCAGTCTCTAGTCTGGTGCCACTCAGCCCTTGGATCTCTCTTCTGGCAAAGGGTTAAATATTTCTCTTTTTAAAATGTCCAGATATAACCCATATTACACAGGGACGCACTGAGACTACATCCACAAAGTCAATGAATCATGAACATTTCTCTTGTTCCTACTTTGCAACGTTTCATAGATTTATTACAACAGGACTGACCTTTTATTAGCTGCATCTACGGTGAACCATTGCATGAATGGCATCCCCCCCCTCCCCACTGAGTAATGTCAGGGAACACAGAAAACCGCCTTATGCCTGGTCATACCATTGTTTCCCTCTAACTTATTGGCCCATTCCAGGAACAAAGGCAGAGAAGGGTCTTCACAACATCTTCTCCTCTGACATCTTTTAAGTGGAGTCACCAGGGACTGAACGTGGGGCCTTCTGCAGGCACGGGGCATGCCCTGTCATGGAGCTACGCCTCTTCTTCTAGGGTCCTTTCCGCACTTGGATCTCATCCCTTCTTTTATCAAAGTTCAACACGTGACACAATACCTTGCATTTATTCCTGGTTATAAGAGCATCCGTTTATCCCGGGACAAGTGTGGGGCGAAACTGGAGTGACCTCAATGTAATGTGGAAACAAAAAATACCCCAAGATAATTACAGGGGTGAATTTGAGTGTAGTGTAGAATGTAAAAATACCCCGAGATAATTACAGGGGTGAATTCGAGTGTAGTGTAGAATGTAAAAATACCCCGAGATAATTACAGGGGTGAATTTGAGTGTAGTGTAGAATGTAAAAATACCCCGAGATAATTACAGGGGTGAATTCGAGTGTAGTGTAGAATGTAAAAATACCCCGAGATAATTACAGGGGTGAATTCGAGTGTAGTGTAGAATGTAAAAATACCCCGAGATAATTACAGGGGTGAATTCGAGTGTAGTGTAGAATGTAAAAATACCCCGAGATAATTACAGGGGTGAATTCGAGTGTAGTGTAGAATGTAATCCCTGCTTCGTAGCCCTCAAAGATGCTTACAGTACAATCCACAGCAGAGTTATACACCCTGGCTCCAGTGGACTCGAAAGCTGTCAGAAGCTTTACAACCAAGATAACGCAATATATCGCAACTGCGTTAAAATCAAAACAGTAGCAGCACTCCAACAATACATTCACCAGCCACCAGATAATCCACAATAGCCTTTCCCCCGCAAAATGCTTTTTCTTAACCAAAGAAGGTTTTCACAAGGCAGGGTAAATGCTTCCAGGTCAGGCCTAGGCAAAAGCCTTGCCTGTCTAGCTTGCACCTGGCTCCCAGCACAACCGTATTCTGTTTCCGTCTCGGCCTTGGCTTTGACACCGGATAGTGGGTGATGGCTTTGGACAGGTCCACGTGGATCCTGAGCACATGGAACCATTCCTCCTACCCCAGCAGGCATCACGTCCCCTGGTTAACATGCCAACTGGGAATGTCTCAACATTATCTGACTGAAGGAGGGAAAACACAGCCATCCTAACTGTGCCGTCTTCTCTCACTAACAGAGAAGCGGTCAAGGTCAGCCATGGCGTCTCAAGGACAGTGTGGAGCACTAGAATAAAGGCTGCCCTGACCCGGATAGCCCAGGCTAGCTTGATCTCATCAGATCTTGGAAGCTAAGCAGGGTCGGCCCCGGTCAGTATTTGGAAGGGAGGCCTCCAAGGAATACCAGGGTCATTATGTAGAGGTAGGTAGTGGCAAACCACCTCTGAATGTCTCTTGCCTTGAAAATCCCAAAGGGTCGCTGTAAACCAGCTGTGACTTGATTGCAAATCATAATAATCATCATCATCATAAAAATACAGTCTCCCCTTCCGCCCACCTGTGTGTGTTAAGTGCCGTCAAGTTGTTTCCGGCTTATGGCGACCCGATGAATTAATGCCCCCCAAAGTGTCCTATCATTAACAGCCTTGCTCGGGGTCTTGCAAACGGAGGGCCCTCGTGGCTTCCTTGATAGAGTCCTTCCATCTCAGGTTGGGTCTTCCTCTTTTCCTGCTACCCTCAACTTTTCCTGGCATTATTGTCTTCTCTAGGGACTATTCTCATAATGTGGCCCAAGTACGAAAGCCTCAGTTTAGTCATTTTAGCTCCTAGGGAGAGTATAGGCTTGATTTGATCTCAGACCCACTTGTTTGTCTCTTTGGTGGTCCACGGTATCCCACAAGATTTCAACGCTTTCGCTTCTGCCCCCCCCCCCCC